CTATCGCATCTGTATAAATACCTCTTATTCTACAACTTGCAAAAATAATGCAAGATTTCAGAAATATTACAAGTGTCTGAAACAGGCTAAATATGGTATAAATAGTTTTTATAAAATAGTTACATTAAGAATTTGGACTGTATTAGTGTAATAATTAAATCATTAATTAAAAAATAATGTAAATAATATACGACTCTATTAGATATATTAGTGTAAATGTAAGTATTATGTGATTTTCTAATGTATATTTTCTGTATTTTTATGATACATTAAGTTTACAAAAATAATAATGTAAGACTTCAGTGCTGATGCATTTGTGTGTAACAAGTTAAAAAATGAAAGGAAATGTATTAATAAGAGAATTCGCCTTAGTAATTCAACTAAGTATGATAAAATGAAAAAAAAAAAAAAAAAAAAATCTTAATTAGTTCTTAAAACGATGTTTATTTTAATTCGATGTAACTAGATATACTAATGTAAAAATATATTGTTTGTATGAAGTACAATGTACAATGAAAGTTTGTATGTATGTTCGAAGTAATTATGTTATTTCAATCAATCTGCCATAATCCAACTTTTGTTGATAGGTTAATTTCTTTGCAATAATTGTATACTATGTCTTTGTAATTGTATATTCAATACGTAAGTCTAATATTAATGTAAAATTACTATGTAAATGTCTTGGTAGGCTAGCATCCGATGCGGGCCAACTAAAAGCCCAGCGGGGTACAGTAGTGCGGCGGAGCAACACCTGTAAAAGTCACTGACGAAGTTCTGGTGCTCCGTCCACTTTTCCCTGTCCCTGTCCCTGACTGCTAGGCAGGTTTTACAGCGTCTGCCCATGCTGAGAATGAGGGTGTTAGTGAGTTGTTAAGGCATTGCTGCCCATTCGCCTTGCAGCGCCAATCGAAGCTCAGGAATCGTTACTGGTGGTAAGGTACGAGCTGCCAAGCGTCTGCCTAGAAAATCCCATACATGCTCGATGGGATTGAATCCGGGAGATCGTGCCGGCCATCCATACGTTCATATCCTCACTCTCTAAGAGCCGTTCGGCAGCTACTGGCGATGACATGGTGCATTGTCGTCCATGAAAAGGAACTGCGGACCCATAGCGCCTCTAAAAAGACGCACATATGGAAGAAGAATCTCGTTACAATAACGGGTCCCGTTGATCGGGTCCCGTTGATTGAACCTGCGTCGAAGATATGAAGGTCTGTACGACTACCAAGCATGATGCCTCCCCAAACGAGAACACCGCCACCTCCATACCTGTCCCTTTCAATGATGTTCGAGGGATGATTGCGGCTTCCCACTCTCTCCAGATGAGTATGCGATGAGAATCGCTACTCAGACTGAATCTGCTCTCTGTAAAGAGTACTCGTCCCCATTCATTGTCTCTCCAATTCCGGTGTTCCCGGCATCACAGAGAACGCCTTCTCCGATGGGCAGGCGTTAGAGGTACACACCGTACAGGGCGTCGTGCAAACAGACCACCACCGTGCAGTCTTCTGGCCACGGTAAAACGCGATATCGGTCGTCCAGTCGCCTGTGTCGTGTGTCTAGCGATTTCTCCCGCTGTCTGCCGCCTTTTTCTTCTGGCCTGTAAGGCAATATATCGGTCATCTGCGGGTGTGGTTCCTCGTGGACGACCACTACTAAACCCCCCCGGATAGTTGTTCCTGTAGTTTGAAATTGTCTCCAAAGTCGTGAAACGATGCTGTGAGCAATTCCGAACTCTGCAGCCACACTTGTCACACTGCGGCCTTCCTCCAACTTCCCAATGATTCGACCTCGGGTAAAGCATCCAGATGTCGTCTAACAGATTGATTATTCGCCATTTCTCGCTGAGGCAGCAACTCGGTTTGATTTTAACTGCTATACGGCGTGCAATCTCTTTGCCAGAAATAATGATCTTACACCGACAACATGCTTTATACTACTCAGACACTCCCCCATTACGTCTACCTGCATATCTGCGCATGTGCTACCGTATATCACCTTACTTAATCTCCTGATTGGTCTTTCTGTCCGCTCTGCCTCTTCGTTCAGCTGATATGCTAATTTTTCGACTTCGTCCTTAATTTTTGCACACCAGTGTAATTAGATTAATTTTCTGAAATGCGAAATTCTAAAACCAATACTCTCGAAAAAAAATTGGATTTAAATACTTACACTGTCCTCCAAAAGTTAAGGAACATCATGTTTTTCAAAGCTAAACATTACAATAACGTCAGTAACGTTTAAATTTACAGTTCATATGCATGACAGTAAAAAAGTTTAAGAAAAATATATGCAAAAGCAATATCTACCATTTTTATTTTACAGAAATGAATACTTATATATGAGTTGGAGAAAAATAGAAACACTGTAATTTTTGCTCCCGAGTGTTGATCTTCAGCTATTATTACAGTTTCGTTGACAATATCCAGGAGAGTCTATTGATGTCCAGGAGCAGTCTGTAAGGATTATGTTAATTTTATTAACAGTTAAATTTTAAGTTCCTTTCCTGCCAAATTCTTAACTTCAACTTACTACTTCCGGCCAGAACGTAGTTTTGGAATCTTGCTGAATATTTAATGAGGAGGAGCGGTATTTAAACCACGAAGTTACTTAAAGAGGCACAGAGAATCAGAGTTTCTGATTTACGCGCGTCTGCCTTTTGGCCACACTCTCTCTCTCTCTCAAAGCTGTTATTACGCTCGGCCGTACTCAGGCCCTTGCTAAGTTTCGTAGTCAAATAAGTTAAGGGGCCAACTCGATTTGAATCTTGATATCTTCGGCTATATTTCTTTAGTTAATCTTAGTTTTAGTTTAATTCTTAGTCTTTTAAGTTCAAGCCCACGTGCGGGCTTTGTTTGTACACTCCCAGGCAGAGTTTTGTTAAATCTTATTGGAATAATAAAGGGTTAGTTACCCTTCTATTTTGTTGTTTCTTGTCGCCCGAACTTAAGCGATTATTCGCTTATCAGTTCTTAAGATTCTTCACTTCCAGCATTAACTTAGAATTACAAAGTGAGGAACTCTACAAGTCTTTTGCCCATTTCGTTGAGGTGGCGGGCGATCGGATGCATGGAAATGGGGATTCACAAGCCGATGCTGCTATACGTTTCAATGTCTCTCGTAGTATGGAATCAGTTTTAATCCGAGGATTCTGTGTCTGGAAGACATGTTCCAGGCAGACATAGAGTCACAACACCTGCGGGAGACAGTTATTTAGCTCTTTCGGCCCGAAGGAGGAGTAACATTACTGTGCCTCAGCTCATGGCAGATCATTTAGTTGCAACGGAAACAAGAATCTGAGTTATTACAGTTCCAGGTTCACACTGGAGAGTGATTCAGGTCGTCAGCTGATCTGAAGGGAACAATAAACCAGATATAACCAATCCCACGTTGTGGAAAGACAGAGTTACAGAGGTGGTGAAATAATGGTTTGGGCAGGGATCTTTCTCGGTGATCACACTGATCTGCATGTGTTCCATGGAGGAACTTTGACGGGTTTGAAATATCCAAATAAGATCCTTGATCAATATGTCCATCCATATGCTATTGGTCCTGAATTTCTTCGGATGAACGATAATGTGTGGCCGCACCGACCTCGAGTTGCTGAAGAATATCTTGAAGGTCACGGTATGGAGTGGATGGAATGGCCAGCTCAATCTCCAGACCTGAATCCGATAGAGTAACTTTGGAACTACCTTGGGAGACAGGTTTCTGCTTTAAATCGTCCTCCAGATTCGTTAGATGAGCTTGAACAAGGATTACTCTGTGTCTGACCGTTGCTTCTCATTTATCTGACTGTCAACTTAATTGGCAACATGGAACATCGCTGCCGCCAATGTATTGCTACTAGGAGTGGAAACAGTCCTTATTAGAACCCATGTTTGTGCACCCCATTTTCTGGATTTCTCGGCCAAGAGTGCAATTTTGTGTTACAATGTTTGTGTTGAACTTTAGAAACATTCTATGTTGCATTCATTAAAGAACTGATTAGTGAACATGTTCTATAAATTTCTTGTTTTTATGTAGCTAAATTCTCGAATTAGACACTAAAAACATGCTGTTCCTTAACTTTTGGAGGGCAGTGTATATCACGAGTATTAAATAATTTTTCGGAGTTAAATTCAAATATTACCTCAAGCCTTTTTTCAGGAGCAGTTTCAAATACCGACGTGTCATATTACATCTTACATAACTACTGACGTGTGCTCAGTTTAATAGTTATAATAATCCCAAATCAATTAATTTTATATAATTTCATCTTTCATGATTCCAGTGTATCTTCTTTGTTAATTTCTGTTATTTCTTGATTTAAGTTGTCGTTATTTGCACAGTTGTGAATTTTTGTTAGAACCATGTTTAACGTAGTCTTTCCGAAATTCGTGCTCCGCTACATTTACTACGCTACCTATTAAAACTGTTTCGTTTAAAAAAGAGCTATATTAAAAGGCATTATAGTCTACGAGTTACAATAAAACCTCACCAAACCATTAGATTTTAAATTTGACATCAAAGATACTGTATACGAAAGACAGACTAAAAAAGAAATTGAAGTTGATTTATTACAGAATTTTAGAAAGCTACTATATATTCATTACACTCATATCATAAAATAACAGCTATTGCAAAAAGTTAAGACGTCGATATAAAAGGGATTTAAGTATTAAACATAAATCTTTTTAACTATTAAATAATCTAATAGGCAATTTAACAAATAATATTTCCTTTTCCTTTGGCACATTTATTTGCAAATGTATACCTCACAGTTTAACCGTTTCAGGAACAAATATGACGAATTAAATTTTATTTAATAAAATATTTGAAATTTATATTAGCTGAATTTTGAACACTCATAGTTGTTATGTTTCAAAATCCTTTAAAAACTACGAATATGGCAGCGTAACTTTTACATTTTATTTTTCCTAATTTGTATTATTTTTAATCTGCATCTATTATAATTATTATTAAATAAACTTGTTTTAAAAAGATTTTCTGTTTTTCAGCACAAAAATAATTCCCATCAAATTTACTTTCTGGCCAAAAAAGTCAAAAAAACTATGACTTCCAAAGACAATTTCCAGCATTTTCTGGACAAGAAACAGTATAGCAGAAGTGGCGTTCGAAGATACGAATGGATATTCGGAAAAACTTTTCTAAGCACTGGAGGACTCACAACTACTAAGGTTAGAATGTTTTCAGTACGTTACATCAAAGATTAATCACGCTTTTCTTATTATGGGTGAGCATTCATAAAACTAAATTTAAACAATCTAAGGTACAGCTTTAGAAAAGTATCGAGTGGAACAGAATAAATATAAGTAAGTATAAATGAGGAATATCGGTACTTATAATACCAAAATATGTAAAATAAAAATCGCAATAACACATAAAGAATAAAGATAGTTCTTAAAATGGTTAAGCATTACAAATGATGAGAGAAAATCAGCGTAAAAGCACTCTTCAGACAAAATCATAATCAGCGCTATTAAATATAGCTTCTAAATAAATTCCTCAGTTCATATTAACTCTTCTTTCAATTTAATGCATCCATTTGTTTTTCATAGCTAGTGAATGTTGATATTTTTCAAGCAAAGAAAGACAAGCAAGTTTTCCTGAATTATCAGGCTTTGGGGGGGGGGCGGTATTTCTTGAGTCGACTGAGGTCGTGCATTATTATGATGCAAAAACATGTCATTATTGTTAACCAGCTTAAACTATATTTCACGAATAGTTTAGTTTAGCTCTATCAATTGTTCATATTGCAAATTTTTTTAAAAAGCTTAAATTTCAAGTAGTAGTTTATGATAGATAATAGTTTCCTTCCGCCAAACAAGTAGCTGTATCATCTTTACTTAAATGTCTCCTTTTGGTGTAGTAGATGAGTTTTGCCTTTGCAAATTTACTCTCTCTTTTTAAGTTATCGAGTCTTGTTCTCTTTGGGAGCATAAAATAACTATCTCTAAAAGACTGTATGAGGAATTGTTCCCAGGTCTTTAAGTACAACAGGAAGTCAGAAGAAGGGTGTAAAGAGCCTTTTATTCACTCAGTATAATTTAAAAACTGGCCTCACTTGGGCTTTCACAAAGACAGCACTTCTGGCCTCCAAACAGGTAACGAGGACCTTAATAAAATAAGTAAATTTAGCCTAACGGCTCACAGGATAATTTAACTCGCAGGAAGGCTCTGACTCGTCGAAGTGGCGGAAAAGAACCTTAATGGTTAGATGCACTCAACGCCACAGCAGTCAAATGGCTAGTAATTCAAAATAGCAGCATGTTCTTCAAGTAGGCATAACCCCAAGTAGCACGGCAACGTCGTTTTGGTCTGAGAGGTTGCAAAGTGCTGGTGGCAACTTTTACGACGTCTTAATAAAATAAGTAAATTTAGCCTAACGGCTCACAGGATAATTTAACTCGCAGGAAGGCTCTGACTCGTCGAAGTGGCAGAAAAGAACCTAACCATTAGGTTAGATACACTCAACGCCACAGCAGTCAAATGGCTAGTAATTCAAAATAGCAGCATGTTCTTCAAGTAGGCATAATCCCAAGTAGCACGGCAACGTCGTAACGATGTTGCAAACTGGTCCGAGACGTTGCAAAGTCGTCGTGGCAACTTTTACGACGTCTTTACAACGTCGCGAAGACGCAAAATATTTGCCGTTGCATCTTGGCAATTTGTCGACGTCGCTGAAACGTCATGATATGACCGCTTTTAGATGTGGTCGTTTTAGCATCTTTTTCATAGTTCTTCAGCGTTACTTTTAGAATGAAAAGAGACTAAATCTGCACTTTCAAGAATCTGAAGTCCGCATAAGATTTATTTTGCAATGTTTCGTTGCTTTATTTCATCTAAATATATTTACCTACGGTAGATTCATCTAATGAAATATAAATTTAATATAAATACTTGAATTATTAAATTTAATTAGTACTAAAATACGTGCTAAATTATTGTTAAAATTTTGTCAAAATAATAATTATTTAAAATATTTTTTTATAAATATTATAGCAAAATATTTAAAAATGAAGCTAATCCATAAAGTAACTTATTAAGTTATGCATTTTATATATTTAAAAAAAATCATATATCCAAAATCAATGCAAATCACATGTTAGTAATTATTTTACTGCTGAAATATGACTTCATTTATTATTTTTGAAGTAAGGACGAATTTATTTGAATTAATATGCTGACATGATATAAAACATTTTTACCGCATGCAGAGCAAAAAGTACAATTTTCGGGAAGATATGATTGTGCGTGAAGATGTATTCACGGTTATAAATGGGGCGATTTTTAGAGTTCCGAGAAAACGTCCAATGTTAAAAGACGTTGCATATCCATGCATATTTAACGGCTGTCCAATATATCCGATAAAAAACTCACCTACAGTCAAGAGAAGCAAAATGGAAAAATTAATGGAAAGGGAGATAGAAATATTAACACTTTTAATGGAAAACCACAAAATTAATGGCTTTGATAAATTACTAATAAATGTTGACATCAAAATTAGAAAAACTGTGAACAAAAATACGAAATTCATTACCTATAAAAGTTCTGATGAACTGTTTGTTACGTTTTTGTCCATCTTCATACATTTAAAAATGCTTGGTTTAATCCTAGTATACGGTACAGTCGGGATTGGGCGATATTGACATTACAAATGTTTTAGCGAGCCCGATAAATATTTTTTTGTAAATATAACCTTGTGAACATTGTTCGTAATTCTATTCAGTTGAAATAATTCTTCTATGCCATTCAAAAAAGATTCTATTAAATTATCAGAAGAACCGTCGAAAAGTGTAATGCCATTGTATAAACCGCTGAAAAGTTTAAACTGAACTGCTGTTCGAGAGATTGACATTCCATGTACATATTATTTACTGGATGATTATATAAATGAACATCTGAGCTCGAGGCTTGCGCGCTTTTGCTACTTGCCAAATTCGAACAAGTTAGTTAACGGCGCAATAATTTAAGGCTCCATCTTATTTTCAGAAATATTTTCTTCCCGGTTTTGTAATTCACCGTCGAAATTAAATACTGGAGAGCTTCAATACAGCAAGAGAAAGATGGAAAAGAATATAATGATGGCAGTTTATTTTGAATTGATGACAAATCATGGTGGTAATACCGAATTTCTGCTTATTTTGTTTGTGAATATCTGCTCTACAATGCAACGTGCTAAAATCGTCCACTCAGTGAAATAGTGTTCTGTTTTGGTGTTTTATGTTTGTGGTGATTAAACTTACATGGTGATGTTGTTCTCCAATCTTCAGTTATCCAGCGGTGCAATATTTGGATACACGGATTCGGTTATAACGTCCTAAGTGTTTTTCGTATATCACTCATATTAAACGAAAAGGTTGGTGCTCAGACTTTCCGCATATGATCGAAAAAATAGTGTTAAGGAAACATTAAGATTACTATAAAATATCGTAATCTATAACTATGCGATATTTAGTGTGTAATACTAAAAAAGCCTAAATATTTTTTATTGATTGCAAATTGCACTTTTATTACTTGTCGTTTGGTAGCTATTCTTCCAAACACTGTGTAATTCGCGTTTTTTTTAAATATTGCTGTTATGTATGTCTATTAGATTATCTCAATAAATGAATGTTGGAAATTAGGTTTTACTCTTTATTAAATTTAAGCATATTCTATTTTATTCGCTTACATTTTATGTGCATGTGATAACAAAGAAATTTATAATAAAACAAAAAGTTTCATCGTGTGCTATTTAACGAAGAGCTTACTTTAACGTACTTAGCTTACTATCGTATATTATGTTAATTAAATTATTTCTGTACAATATTAAAAAAGTTATTGATTATAAAAAGTGCATGAAATGATCATTGTAATCTACCACTATTCTAAAATGTAGAAACTAATAGTAAGTAAATACATTTACTTACTATTAGTCTAAATACATTTACATATGATCGAAAGAAATGGTGTTAAGAATCATCAGCATTACTAGTAAATGCTTGCACTTTTAAATGCTTACTATTTAAAATGCGCAAATATTTTTTTTTTGTAAATTGGAAATTTTAGTTCTGTTACCTTCCTTCTAGTATTTATACTTTCAAACACTGCTAGTTCATGCTTTTTCTTAAATAGTGCTGTCATGTATGTTGTTTGTTAGGTTATTATTTCATTTTAGATATGAATATGAGAAGTTTTTTTGGTTATTAGATTTAGGTATATTTTTGTATGAAATATTTTTTATCACATTTACTAACTACCTTATATAGTCTTTCATTTGCATATCTCGGAGATATACAAGTTAATGGTTATATTGTTTACTATGAAACGCGAATAAATTTATACTTGAATTCAGATAAAATACTGATTATGTTACCTTACGCTTCCTAATTTATCATGACAGAGGCAATTTTTATCGTCTCTGAGATTTAACAGAAATAAATGTGATAATGCTGTTATAATTAGAAACACTCTTTTCTTTACCCACATATATTAGCTTTACTTTTATTTATGTCTGATTGAATTCTATTTACTTAAAACCTACTATTATTGTTATATATTTATAATAACCACTTTCATAATTACTCTCACTTACATACTAAAGGATTAAGGGGAAAAAAAGATGAAATCTAAAATAATCGTAACTTAGAATTTAAGTTATGTAAAAAATATAGTTTAAATTACTGAACATAATTAAGGCTTTTAATAATTATGCATATTTAGTCTAAAGAGAAAAAATTGTATTATCTTCTGGTTTTCAGGTAATGATAAAATATTTAAACTTTAGAAAAATACAAGGAATGCAAAATTTAAAAAAAAGAAGAAAAATACATTAATTATTAAGCTTATTTTTCTGCATAAATCAATATATAACAGAAGGACGTCATAACGACGTTTTTACAACTGTTGCAAAAAATTTGAATTCTGCGAACTTTTAGACGTAGTTAAGACGTCGTGATACGATGCTTTCACAACAAAAATATAACGTGAGAAAGACGCAATAACGACGTCTATTCAACATAAACTTATCTGCAAAGACGTAATATATTTTTGTATGAAATATTTTTTATCACATTTACTAACGTCATTGCAACGGTTGCAAAACAGTGGAGTTTCGCGGACATCTGGGCGTCTTAAAGACGACATATTGCAACGTTTTTCCAACGACATCCACGACCAGTTTGCAACGTTGTTACGACATTGCCATGCTACTTGGGACACGCTCTAAAATCACCTATCAAAACCTTCCCTTAAATAGCACTTCTACCTCATTTGAGTACACGCACGCTAGCTTATTAACATTCTGGCAGGAAAATATGGGTGAAAACGAGACTGAAAGAAAAGTTACTTTAACTAAATATTAACTGCTAATAAAATGAAATGAATCTCCATAAATTTTATATTCTTATTAAACATACGTTTTTCTTTACCATTGATTTTCCAATTGAAAAATGGATTTTATTAAGGAACATAGAAATGTCAGTTTCGAATTTTTGTTTCAAATTCAGAGCTATTGATTTTCAAAAAGACAGACTCAGTTTAAAAATACCTTCCTGGTTTTTTTTAAATTCTAAAGCAATTTTAATAGATTGATTGGGGTTGGTTTTACATTAAGTACTTGCTAATCGGTCAGATTTATATCATGTACGAAATCAGTGCATCTGGATTTAAAAAAAAAATATCATAAAAATATTTTTGAAATTTTTATCCGTCAGAAGTTTTTAATTACTCTGTATTTGGACTTGATTTGGCGATCTTGAGGAAAAGCCAGAGCACTTAACACATAGTGCTTCCATTTTGAATAGAAGCGTCCTACTTTCTACAAATCTTGCATTATATTACGCTACAAGAATATTTATCATCCACGCAGTATGACAGATTGCTTATTTTTCGAACTGCTGCCATTCGGTGTTTCGTAAGATCTTTTATTTATCTTTCAAATTTAAACAGTACATTACTTAACAAAGACTGGGATTCAAAAACCAGTGTACGCATTGATCGCTTTATCTATTTATTTTGCTTTTTCTATCCCTAGATGATATAATTTATAATATATCTAATTCTTGTAACTAATCTAACTGATTATTTTTATGAATATTTGTACCATTTTAATCTTTAATGCCATGTACAAGGCCTTCCCCTTGTGTATACCCATGTTTACTCCTCCCAAAAGAGCCTGATCATGAGATGCGCAACTTCAGTATGGTAAATCGGGGGAAGATCTTTCAGGGAGGCTTTCATCAGAAGGGCATAATGATCAATAAGACGTGATCAGATGGATATGACCATGCTTGATACAGTTTTAACTGGAAAACAATTATTTCTATTTAGCCATATTTTGCGTCTCATTAAACTGGTCAGAGTAATCACGCCTACAAGTCAGCTTTTAATTTGGTACTACAATACATGACAATAAATTTTCATATAATGTGGTAATCCACCAAATAAAACTTGATTATATAGATTGAAGGGCTTAAATAGTAAATCGATAAAAAGAACGAACATTAAAACGGCGTGAAACTAAAAGTCATTACCGTATGTGATATAGTGTCAGTGCATTTAGTTGTCATTTGAAAGATTTAGGTTGAACTCCGGAGGGGAAAAAGAAAAAGAAATCGAACTCAATATTCGTTTTAGGCGCTTTTCTTTGTTATACCGTTTCAAGTGTGGTATGTCAGCAGTTTGAACATATTCTGACGGATCCAGATACGTGATCTGCATTTTCAGAAGACATTGTTTTGATTACTTTGATGGATACCAATGATGCTGAGTATCATGTACCTAGCACAAAACATAAAGCGTCCCGCACATTAAAAGCCGGTTTAAAATATAACGCTCTTAAAATGTTGGTAAGTGATGTTTGTGCATTTGACTCGATTCAAGCAAGCTTATATAAAATTCGTAAAAAGTACTGGCATTTTGTTACCTAACCGTTCTACTATCGTATTTGTCAGATAAAAATGCGCAGCTTTTAGAAATTTTTAAAGAATTTATTTCGTAATGACAATGCTATTTTTTTATTTAGCAGAAATTTTCTCTAAATTTGAACAAGTAATGGCGTAATTTTATATGAAATTCGTAAAACGTACTGGCAATTTGTTACTAAACAGTTCTTCTGTCGTATTTGTTAGATAAAAATGCATAGCTCTTGGAAATTTTTTAAAGACTTTATTTGATAATGAGAACAATATTTTTTAATTAGTAGAAAATATCTCTAAATTTGAACAAAGGTAATGACTTAGCTTTTGCATCGCTTCCAAATACCACAAAGAAAAATGTGCTATATTCATAGAGGTGACTGGGTGAAAATGATGTCATTCATGTTTTTGCAGAGACATAAAACAAAATAGAGTAAACCCTGCAGTTACGTTTTTCCAAATACCACAAAGACCAATGTGCTATATTCATAGAGGTGCTGGATCAAAAATGATGTCATTCATGTTTTTGCAGACATAAAACAAAATAGAGGAAACTCTGCAGTTACTTTTAGGACTTTTAGGCAAATTAAAAGAATATTGTATTTAAGCACTGCAGAGATTACATTAAGTTAAATGAATTTAAAAATTCTAACAATCAGGAAACTGATCATAAGACTTCATTTTAGAGATAAAATGTTTTACGAAGTTTTATGAAGAAAGGTATGCAGTGCGTCTATGAAATTTTAAGACTGAATTTTTTCAACTAATCTCAGCGAAGTTGTTAAGTCAATGTAAGCAAGTTCAGATTGTTAACTACACATCTGAACTTGTTTATAAAACCATATCCACTTGAGAAAAGAATTTTGAGTGGAACTTTTTTATTTGATTTTATGCGATGAATGCCTGGTATTTTGGATTTAATAACTTAACAGAGAGAAGCAAGAAAATTTTCTTCGTACAGAGCGATTGTCATCAAGTAGCTTATTTCAAACAAATTAACTCTTTTTAATAATCCTCCCTATTGAAAACGTCACAGTTGGACGCCTTCGAACTAATTTCGATGTCCTCTACAAAAGCAATCACTCTCTTTAGATAAATATCTTTATGTGATTTATATATTTGGTTAACAAACAACTTTCAGTTCTCTAAAATGAAATCTTACTTTAAAGGTCATCCTATTTCAGGAAACTATAATGTGTGATGAAATAGTTTTTAAAGTGAGGATTTATACAAAGCCATAATAAAAGCTCTAATGAGCATGCTAAGGAATATGTAGCAATAGATGGAATACGAGCGGAAAGTTTAGTGGTAAATGTGTTTTCTTCAGATCTCGATTTTTTATGAATTTAGTCCTAAAATTCTGTGTTTCACTATTCACAATTTTGTAAAATATTTATATGGAAACAAATTCATAGGAAAGTTTCCAAATGCTATCATATATTACGAAATTATTTAATGTATCACTATTCTCCTCTTTTGGTCATAAGCGAAAGTCTGGCTAAGACCATTAAAGAGAAGAAGTTGTATACGTCCATTAAGAAGTTTAGTCGCGTGGAAAAAACTGCTTATCAAATGAAAACGTCATATTATATAAGTAGTAAATAAAATGGTTCTAAAAATTTCAATTTTTTTTGTGATTGCCTTTTATTTACTCAGTTTCAGCTAATTAAAACTAATATTAATTTCATAAATATAATATTGGTAACTATCTCATTAAACTAATAATAAACTATTATTTTTTCAACAGAAATATGTTGCACTTTTAGATCTGAAGGAAGGTCAGAAAGTCCTCGATGTCGGATGTGGCTTGGGCGGTCACAGTTTCTATATGGCAGAGGTATTGTTTTTAAACTTCCTTATGTACTTTCTTTTGCCCTATTTTTAATTTTTTTTATATATCAACATTCTAGAACAGAGCAACTAAAATGGCGGCCCACTGTCTGCACTCTGCCGACCTATTATTTTGCACGATTAGTTTTGCGATTTTCACATTTCGAGGTGTTTGGAAAATGTTACATTTTGTCAGACTTCGCGCGCCCTCCTCATTTCAACTCAATGAAAAAATTGCAAGATGATTTGCGATTAGTCGAAATCGACAGCCTTGGGTATAATTCTATTATGGTCAGTGAAATGTGTTTAAACTTAATTTAAAAAAGAATATATTCTCTTTTATATACGTCCATTTTTGTAATTTATAATATTTTTAATACAGAATTCTAAAATACATTATGAAAAGAACAAAGTCTCACTTTCTTTCTGAAAGAAATCATCATGATTTGGTAACCCGCAGTTTGTTTTAATTAGCATCACTGATCTAAAAGATAGTGCTAAATGCTTCTTACCACTTTATCTTCTTGGGTAAGGGTTATTATAAATTTTAATGAATGAAATATTTTTCTTCGAATTATTAAATCACGTTTACCTGATTTTGTAAATTAGAATCTAAAATCAAATTTAAAATATTAATTTTGAGATACTGATCCTGATTAAAATGACAGATCTTTCCATGTACTCTAAAATGTATTCGGCACTACTAGAAACAGGAAACTTGCATTTTTGCTATTTTTACTGGAATTCAGTTTTCCGATATTTTAGCTGTTGTGTTGTCTGTAGCTTATCTAACTTGCCCGAGAATATTAGAACATAAGTCCATGCATTTTATCATGACAAGTAGTGCAAGATTGCGTCTATCGTTGGCATGGGTCCTGGACACCTTACGACGCGTTCACACGATGATGTCATTATTGTCATAGCGTTAAGATATAAAAGTCATTGACTTCGTTGACCCCTGGTGTAACAGGTTTCAAGCTGTAGCCAGTAAGGGAAGGTAAAGTTTCTTTTGCCCGAACGTGTAACTGACTCCGCGAAATCGTCGAACGAATGTAATTTCGTGTTTCTTTCACAGACAGTGGTCGGTTCTTATACCTGATTGCTATGAGGTTGAACAGTTAGAAAATTTAGACAAAGTCCTTATACTAGCTTTCATGAATCACCAAAGTCTGGTTGCCTGACAACGAAGTTCGCCTTGTGCCTCGCAAAACCGTCATGTGAAAGCTCTGTTTTTAATGACCGAATGACTTCAGATCCGTCACATTGTTGAAGATGAATCTCCCGGAAGACGGTCCAAGAGACTCCTACATCACTTTTATCAAAATTTCGAGAGGACTTTCGGTTCGCCTCGTATTTTAAGCCCTCTCATGCCGCAATGACACTATACACTTACAAACATCCAAGCCTTCTCCGAGGCAAGCCAGCAAATACGATACGGCAGCCAGCAAAGCTCTGATCAGGGAGGTTTAAATATGATTAAAAAACAAAAAATGTATCTTCTGAGAGATAAATACATGAAAATTATTCCAGAATAGTCATAACTTGATTCCTTTCAAAATGAAGCATATGCGAAACCTTTAAAAGCATGATATCTTTGAAGCACCAGTTTTACAAATTTGAGATTCTGGCTAGTGACATCGATACTACAGGTTTCGTTTTCATACGAAAATACATCGAAAGCTGCTTTCTTACTTAAGTTTTAACGGAAACACACAACCTTTCCCAAATCAACTCATGCAGTATAGGCTAGTTGTCTTAAACCTTATCCCCAGCAATCTTTTTACATATGATGGACCAGAAAGTAAAACTTTGGGTTTCTCTATATTTTTTAGCTCAGTGGCCTAAAGTCTCTGAACACTATATAGTCTGACCTGGTTTGGTTTCGATCTCAGGCAATCGGGATGGCTGCATAGTTGGTTTTCGCAGCATTCCCCGTGTGTAACGTGAAATATGTGCGAGTTTCCCTTAGAAAGTCCTTCACGGAGGCCCCCCTTCTCTAAGGCAGACAGCCTTCGTAGCTTTGCCATATTCAAGTAATCTAATCTCTATATTTTTTTAATTTGTTGTACCTATTTAGTGCCTATTTTCTGCTATTTATTATCGTGTATTTTATTCAGTTATGTATAACTATTAAATATTTGATTTACTTTGATTTACTTTGTATTGTAATGACAATTTCCTTTACACTTATTTCTTACTCTGTATATTATTTTTAACTTGCATTCACTAAACATATTTTAAGTGATTAATTAGTATACTAGCTGGTAAGGAATGTGTGGTTAAACTTTGAAATTTTGTTCACAACGCAAGCAAAACCCGAGAAATTGCCCATTAAACGTCCTCCGGATTTCTTTGACAAATTGTATCGTCAAACTGACAATATACGGAAACTTTTAGTTCAGATTTGGAGACATTATAGAAGTTTTGAAACGCAAAGTTTTATGAGCAGTTTAAAATAATTTTTCCAAATTTATCGAGTAATCCAGCTTTTGTAAGAGGCCGAAGGTTGAATTCGGAGTTCTAGACTTCCAGATTTAAACAAATATTTCGGCTTTGCCATGCGTTTTCAGGTTTTGCTTGTGTTTTCAGCTTTTGTTCAGTTAATGAATTTTCAGTTCTTTTGTGACTTTTAAATTTCCATGCTGTGAGTTTTCGACACCTCGCGAATCTTGTTTTCAGGATGGAGCAAGGTTTGGTGTTTCGTTTATAAATAATTTTAGCAGTATTGCTGGTGCTGTATTTTGCCGAATTATTTGCATGCGTTAATTTATAACAGTTTGAAGTTGCAAGAAATATAAAAAGTTTCCTACCTGCTCATTCAACAAGAGACTGCAACTGATTCGTCAACAGGAGCCGTCAGGCACGTATGAATTAAAAGTAAATCATAGCAATACAAATTTCAGGAGAATAAAAACAGTATTTAAATTTAATTATCATAGTAAACAATGCCCAGCAGTGTGCAAGTAAATTACAGCTGTACGAATAAGATTAAAATCAGGCTATACTTTGCTGTATGCGAAGATATATGATGATTTTTACATAAAAGTTAAGAAGAATTATGATGAAAGAATTGAAAAAAAATGAAAAGTTAATAATTTATGCATTTAAATATTTAGAGATTAGTGACTTTTAGATAAAAAAGCTTCTTAAGCATAGCTGGAAAAACAGATAGGATTAATGGAAAAACGACCTTTAAGGAATCTTCAAGATCATTATTCAGTTAAATTGTGTAGATCCACGTACACAGGCATATATGAAAATAAAATTTTTTAAAGGGTTTAGTTTACTATTCTGAGTAGAAATATATTATAAATATATAAAACTCTTAAAGGATTCATCCCATACAAGTGATTTGCCGATGGTGATTTCAGCTGTCCACCAGGAGGAAGAAATACATAAAGCTGTTTTCCTGAGACTTTAGTAATAAATACGCATTTAATATAAAATAGTTTCATAAAATAAAATGCAAAACTTCTATTTGAATTTATTGCGAATAAATGTTATTACTTAAGGATATAATATATTTTATAATACTATTTTCCATTTGTAACAGAATTATGGCGTAGAAGTTCTGGGTGTGGATTTATCTGTCAACATGATGACAGTGGCAACAGAACACCTGTCAGAAAGACCTCATCTCGCTAACAAGGTGAGTTATTTTTGGTACAAGAAGTTTACTAAGAAAATGATTACTGACTTAAATGAAAGGAACCCATAAAATGAAAACGTGATAGTTTTGTTTTTCAAATATTTTGCAATATTGATTAGAAAGTTCAGTTCTCAAGAGAGAAGAGGTATCTATAAATTTTGAACGTGTGTGGCTGACATAGCGTCATTGAAGTTCAGATATTTATTATTTCATTTTACAATTTAACACTGCTGATAATATGCCACTTTAAGCCTTCCCATATAATGCTTTTTTAAAAAGTTGTCCCATTTCAGTCTCACTCGTTGAAGTAGGTAAAAAGAGTTTCCATTTCAGCTTTTCCTATTAAGATCAACACTGAATTATAAAAAATATGATAGCATGTCACGTGACTAAAAGGTATGAAAGGTTTTTGGAATTGAAAGCAGTATCCTAGTGTCGTTTCCTCCTTTCCGATTCATCATCAGCTCAAAATAGTGACGAATCGTCCGCTGCCTTCCTCCACCAATTCTCTCCTTCCCCATTTCAACTGCTCCTCGAAAAGTCACTTTCGGATATAGTTTTCGTCAACTACAAGGGTACTGTTTTCTGTTTTTCATGTAAATTAAATATTTTTTTTGGGTAATTTAATCTAAGTAGAATAATGGAATGTAGGTTTTGTTCAAAACACATATATCTTAATCTAATGACGATTTTTCTTTTTATAAAGAGCTATTTTTGTTTTCAGTTTCACTACTTTTAAAACAACATAACTATGGCTAAGGCCGGATAACTGATTTGGAGAGCTGGTCGAGTACGATAAGTATCCGCTGTTAAAAGCTCCCTGTCTAAACTTACAAGAACTCTGACTTAAATACTCGTATCTGATTTACATCTTGGTGAAAGCTAACGACAATAACAAGTGACGATTAAGTCCCAAAATGGCTTAATTAGCACAAAATATACTTTACAATTCTGTTAAGAACAAAAGTATGTTTTGTATATTTAAAAACACGTAAGACAGATTTTTAATATATCTTATTGTATACATTTAAGTTTCTAAAAGATAAGAATGAAATTTTAAAACTCAAATTTATTCATTTTTGTAACGAAATCTAATTCCAAATCTCCTACTGGTGATAAAGTATCGTTAAAAATTTGCTAAATTGAAATTAAGTTCATCACGCCCACCAACTTTGTTTGCGTTTTCTAAAATATTTCTTTACCTGCATCTTGTCTACGTCAGAAATGCAGACAGGATTTTTTTCTTGCGCAACATCAGTTTCAGAATTTGTCAGTAAAGTTTCGTTGTAGTAAGCTTCTCATCAAAACCAGTATTTATTCTCAATTTTATAATTTTTGTTTGATGTTTGTGTTCTACCTTTAAAATTAGTACGAAATGGCCACTTTTTTTTTTTTTTTTTTTTTTTTTTTTTTAGGTTTTTCTAAATTCATGATCACGTTTTAAACTTAGAATAATAACATGTGATTGACTACAGAATTGCATTTCAGATAAGTGCATCGCTCTAAAATGCTAAGTTAGATTGCTAAGTTAAACTGTGCATTCATCACGTAGTGTTTGTTACCTGTCTTAAGAAATAAATTTCTTAACAACCACTTTTTGAAAAGGACTTAATTAAAAACTTTAATGTTGAGCCAGAGAAATTGCTTTGGTATAATGCGCTTTCTTTTTTTTTTTTTTTTTTTTTAGTAAAGTTTTAAGTTTTGTTAATTTTTTTTAAAAATTTTCCTATGATGTGAAAAAAATTTGAAATGGCATGATTTTTTTATGTTTTCTTTACGAACATCTGCAGTAGAAAAGAAAAGGCCTGCAATGCCATAATTATTGTTGCCATCCCCTAAACAGCTGAAGGAGTAAAGAGTGAAAAGAGATATCACGGCATTATCTGCGGCTGGAACTAATTAGTACAAATACTAATCTAGCAGTGCAGCATTATTTTATACTAACATACTAATGTATGTTTTAATATCAGTAGTTCCCCTCCCTTCACTATCTGAGGCTCTGAAATTCAACCTCTTTCTTAATATTTTAGGTGTTAATTCCCTATTATTAACTTTCTTGGAGCTTAGGAATTAAAATTGGAAACTAGGTAGCGTTTTTGAAGTTAACAACGACATCCTGAGGGAGTGACTCTGTAGAGTCATTAGGATTTTTTTACTTCCTTGTACGAAGTAAAAAGGAAGTATTGTAATCGCGAAAAGCTTCTGGCAGCATATTTCAACGAAAATATCCACATTGACCGCTTTCGAATGCAATTTAACGATGTTTTTGCGTGATATCTGTACGTAAGGACAGAATAAAAGACTCTTTTCCTAAAAAAAAAAAAAAAAAAAAAAAAAAAAAAAAAAAAAAAAAAAAAAAAAAAAAAAAAAAAAAAAAAAAAAAAAAAAAAAAAAAAAAAAAAAAAAAAAACCTAAAAAACTGCTTTAAAATGAATTCTGAAGAGAATTTTTCGGGGCGTCTGTACGAAGGTATGTATCTCGCATAACTCAAAAACGAGTAGCCTCAGAACGTTGAAATTTTGTATATAAGACTACTATAACATGTAGATGTGCACCTCGTATTTTGGTTTCAATCGGCTGCGCCAAACGTATATAAATATATTTATAAATATATAAAATTTTTCTTGATCCCAAATGGAGTTGCAAAAATAGTTTGAATACCATTGTTGTAGCGAATGCTCTATCATACATTAAACTACATGTTGAAGGGAAGGAAATAAAATGAACCATGTTAACGTTTAAAATTTTAGATTTACGAGAAACAATTATTTCTGAACTGCAAGCACACCAAACTTTAAAAATGGTTATGAGTATTTGAAAGATAACTGTCATATTGAACACCATGATATAGCAGGAATTAGGAACAAGGGTGAAAATTATGAAATAATTTATAATCTGCTGTTCTATAATAAGAAAACAAATATGAAAAATGAATTAAGACCGTTTTTTCAGCGAATTCAACGTTAAATATTTTGCATGAACTGCTTCATGCGCCAATATCAGGCCATTTCAGAATAAGAAAACAGTTCATAGAGTAAGAGAAGCTGTTTATTTTCTGCAACTACAAAAATTTGTAACGCAATATGTGAAGTGCAAGAGTTTAAGCTTGGTATGCTTCTCATGTATTCTGTCTTCATTTTCAAGTATTTATAGATATCTGAATCTGAAACCGGAATAAATACGAAGAAAATTGGATCTGTGTTTTGTATATGTAAACAGGCATTTAGGCTTATAAGTGGTATAAACTATTAGGCATACTCCCCTTTTTAAAGGGCGACTAGGGTTTTAGGGGACCTAGTCGCCAAATCCTGGGTGCGGAGAATCATCATCCACAACCCTTTTAGTTCGGGCGCCACTTGTAGAGTCATTAGGCTAATTGGAAGCAGGAAAGATGAAAAATATGCAACCGCCTTCGCCGGGAATCGAACCACGGGCCTCTGGAATACCGTCCGAGTGTGCAACCGTTACACCACGAAGGCACGCTAGGGAAGTGGGAGAAATACCTTATAAACTAATTAATGTTATTAACTATTCCCTTGTTGTCTGAGTTCCTTGTTGAGTACCGTCAGGAACATTGATACAATTAGCTAACTGATCAAAGGTTTACCTGGGCTCCTGAAGATGTTTGAATCTGGCAGTGATAAAATGACCATAACAATTTCATTTTCATGCATTTTATGACTTCTGATTTTTGTTTCAGCAAAATAAAATTTTAAAATATTAACTTCAGAAGTCAGAAGTAAATTAAGAAGTCAATCGCAGTCAAAGGATATTGACTATTTTTCCTTCATCCACTAAATTTGTATCTATTTTATTGTTTCATGCAATAATCATTTCTTTTATTTGCAATTCATTATTTCAAAAATATGCCTAAGCAGTTATAATTTAACATATTTAATTAATTTATTCGGGTAAAAAATATATATGTATTTTTTTCAGGTAAAGTTTGTGATATGTGATATCACTCGTGCCACTTATGATAGTGCTTCGTTTGATGCGATTTACAGCAGAGATACTTTGCTTCACATACCGAATAAAGAAGAGCTGTTTTCTAATTTTGAAGTAAGTGGAATTATTTACTGAAAATACCCGGAGTTAAATTCATTATGGTCTCTCCTAAATATATTTCATCGTACGTAAATGAATTTAATAGTGTTACGAATTTTGTATATATGTAAATAATTTTAGTGAAATTATACGTAAAATCTTAGTATCTCTCGTATAATGTTGCATGGAATGCCTGAAGAGGGAGGAGCTCCGCCGAAAAAATAAAATTACAGACATAGGTCCCTTTAATATTGAGATAAATGGTTATCTCACCAATGCCAAGATGGCGATTGTTTGGACGACTAATATTTTGTCAAATTTGGCTAGAAATTGACAGAGACATTTTGGTTCGATTCTTTTGTAACTGTAGTTTGACTCCTGTTGCTTCCGCAGCGGCCGAGCGGTAAAGACGCTGAACACTGGTAGTTCGGTCCGAGGTTCGAATCCCGCGAATGGGCTGGCTGCATGGCGTTTTCGTGGTTTTCCCCATGTGTAACGTGTATACGAGCCAGTTTCCCTTAGAAAGTCCTCCACGAAAGGCATCCCTCCCCTCAGGCAGATAGCCCTAGAGTGCTTTGCCATAATTAAATACACCAACACCAACCTGTTGCTTCCTGCTTGCTTTACGACTAACTCCGGCGCTTATGCGTTAATCGAATTCGTCATCGTTATTTTATTCTTGTTTATATGAGATCATGATTTACATCGCTAACAAGATATAATTTTTAGAATCTCCCTTCTCACGCGTGGCTTGACATCAGCTTGGAAGAAGTACTTCGGAAATGACCAGAGTGAGCTTGCGCCACAACACCGATATCACACCCTAAAGGAGACGGAAGAACACATATAGAGTCAAACTTTACGCAAGAATCCAACACGCACTCTTAATTTCTATTAGTAGTCAGGCTTCTGCTAAAAGCTAATCTCTCACCAGAGCCACAAGAAAAAATATTCTGAGAAAAATATAATTTAGCATATTATGTGAACTCTTTGCATGAGTGTTTTATCAGCATAACAGAGAAACCATACAGTAATATGAAAATATACAGAGCATTTATTCTCGTGTTCCACATACATTGCTTTAAAACTTTTTAATACAATCTTTAAATGAAAAAAATAATAACATTAAAATATTGTAAAAGAAGAAAAAAAAAGTTTTCAATAAAATGCGCTTCAGGTCAGAACTCTTTCAATATGTTTCTGATTATTTCTGTGTTTTTGTTAATTGTTTGACAGTAACATCATGGATCCACCTAGCTCCATCTCAGTTTTGACGGAGAATTTTAAGAGGAACAGAATCGAGATTCCTCCTTCTCTCTTTGCCTTCCATTAGCCTTTCGAGAGAACTTTCGGCTTGACAGTATTTTTAAATATCTCCATGCTGCAAAGACACTATAAAACACCTTGTCTTCTCCAGATATTGAAATTGGGCACATGATTTTGCTATCCGGCTCTATTACTATGCCAACACGAAGATTTGGTAATTCATTAAAAAGATTAAATGTAAATTTTAGAAATTTTCATTTAGCATTAATCCTTTTTTAGGAATTTCCTTGTGCCTTCATATGTTTCCATTAAACCTCCTTAAATTAATTTAACAGTGATTTGAACTCTGGCATAATCCACTCTCACAAAAAATAATAATCAAATTATGCAGATTCACTGTGCCGATTGACGAAATTCAACAAAATCGGACTTTTCTGAAATGGCATGCCAATTTTTATCCATATTTAGATTCTACGACTCAAATTATGCATAAATAGTAAATTTTGTAAAATTTGATGTGAAATTTACGGAGAAATTCAAAAATTTATCTTGGCGCATTTTTTTATTTGCGCCAAATATATTCAGGCCAGAACTTTTGCAATGTTTCTGATTATTTCTGTGTTTTTGTTAATTGTCTGATAGTAACATCATGGATCCACCTAGCTCCATCTCAGTTTTGACGGTGAATTTCAAGAGAAACGGAATCGAATTATGTCAAACGGAATCGAATTATGTTATTTCGAGACAAATCAAAATTTGTCTCGAAAAATGTATAAAAATGAGTTAAAAACAAATTTTAAAAATAAATCATAAAAAATGGGGGAATTTTATTTGGAATGAACCTAAATTTCGAAATGTGAAAGGAAGAATGAAATAAGTTTAATAAAAAAAGAAAGATTAATAAATATAAATCAAATTCAATTAACATTGGGGAGCTAATTTTTTAAAAATAACGCGTGCCATTTTTACAAAATTTGGCAGTTTGACATAATTTGAGTCGTAGAATTAAAATATGGGGAAAAATTGGCATGTCATTTCAGTCCGATTTTCATGTCAAAATATATACTATATATAAGTCTAATACATATCCTCAGTCGCGCTTTCGAGACGTGAAAAACGCAAGTTGAATTTCGTCAGTCGGCTCAGTAGAATGGGAGATATCGAACTGTACCATTTTTTTTCTTCGCAGTGTACATGTATGTGGAACATCAGAATTTTACAACAGGCTACACAGCTACAGTTCCACCACACTAACTATGTAGCTCTGCCCCAGTTGTGATGGACAGCACCCAGACGAACGGCCCAATGGTCTCTCAACCCTCTTTCCCCTGCCATGAAACCATTCGAGAGGACTTTCCAGTATTTTGAGTGCCACCATGCCGCATAGACACGACACTTAAGCATACCTTTTCTGCAATTCGAACACGGTTCCATCAGCATAATAGTCAACGTCACTACCAACTACGTATAAAGATTACGGCGAAAAGGCAACAGATATGATTTCAACAGAAGAGGAAGCACAGATAATCTCAGTCGTATGTCTCATGTCATTTGTCCGTAAATTTATGACGTATACAATGTAAGTCTGTAAAGCCATTTTCGCACTTTATCTGTCTTTGTTCCCTTGTTGCTGCATTATTATACTTTCTTTAGATCACATTAATGGCGGATTTAAAAAGTTTGAGGCTTATTTCAGCTAAATTTGTGGGAACCCGCTTGCCTAACACAAAGGGATACACTACTTTTTTTAAAAATTAATTAATGACTTAAGGGCGTTTTGACACGTGAAACCTCTCGCCATTGTAACATTTTGTGATCGTATAAATCCGCCTCTGAATCTACATTCTTTCTTCCTCAAGCTTCTAAAATAATACTGACGAAATTAAGAGCAACATAATGTCTATATGAGTTCACATACAACGACTACACTGCAGCTTCAAATATAAAACGAGCCTACTAGCGGCGAAATCACTGAACACTGGTATTTCGGTTCGAGGCTCAAATCCAGCGATCGGAGCTAACCGCAAGGCGTTTCCGTGGTTTTCCTCATTTACAATCTGTATATGAGCCAGTTTTCCTTAGAAAATCCTCCACGGAGGCATCATTCCCCTTAAGAAACTCGACTGCTTTGCCATAACTAAAGTAAACCAAATGGAAGCAAGTTGTTTTTCAAACCTACTTCTAACAGCATTTAAATATTTAGAAATCATAATGAAAGATAGAAATCTTTTCCTCTTGGATCACTAACGATTAAATGAGAAGAGATCAGCGGCTTTATGTGTTTGAGGACTCTTTTCTTGTGATGCGCATTTTTTGGACATTTCATAATTCACTTGCATGACCTCCTTATACTGTTTTTCATATTACAACTAAATGACAAATGGAATTTTAATTTGAAAAATCTTTCTCGTACTTTCAGTTATAAACTCTCGGAGCACAGTTTAAAAATCAGCTCTAAACTCTGTCAGAAGCAATTTTTATATCTCTAAGCTCTATTAGAAGCAATTCATTTTAGATTTTATTTTAGACCGGTTACAGATAAATATCACTGTAATTCTACTTATTTGACAATACGATTTTCCCTGAAACCTCTTTTAAGTTATTTTTTCTTATTTTTAAAAAAGAAAACTGCATTTATGGATATCTTGATTTTAATTCAGTTTACTGGATTTTGAACAGCACTTATGAACTAGGAAACCAATCGTAGAAGAGTATCATATCTTAATGTAATATTATACAGTTGGAAACAAATTGAATAAAATTCGATTTCAATTTGAAATTGGATATTTCTATACTGTGCTATATTTAACTTCTCAGTTCCTTTCTATAAACAGTGTATTTGAATTTAATTTATTATTTTTACAAAATTGAAGACATGAATGCTTAATTTAATTATTACTTTTATGTTTTAGAGGTGGCTAAAACCTGGTGGAAAAATCCTGTTCACTGATTATACGAAAAGTGACAAAGAAATTTCTCCAGATTTTGAGAATTATATAGCTGACAGAGGTTATCACCTGTTAACATTGAATCAATACAAAGAAGTAAGGCATTTCTTCACATTTTTAGCGATAGTTTTCAGTTTGTAAAATACAATATTGTCGCCAGAACAGAAAATTTCGCGACTCAAACATTCACAAATATCTCAATTTAGCATACATATTTTAACCTCTATATAAAGTGAATTATTTACACAAACCATAATATTCAATGATGCCTTACTTATTTTTGCATTCATTGACAAAATAGATATGGCATTTCTCCTGCCTTCTTAGCGTGCCTTCGTGGTGTAGTGGTCTGCATGCTGGGTGCGTATTCCAGAGGTCCGTGGTTCGATCACCGGAGAAGGCGTTGCTCAGTTTTCATTTTGCCTGCTTCCAAAAATACCTAATGTCTCTACAGTGGCGGCCGAACTAAAAGGGTCGTGGATGATGATTCTCCACACCCAGGATTTGGCGACTGGGTCCCTAAAACCCCATTCACCATTTAAAAGGGGGAGTATATAAGGTTTCTCTCGTCTTCTTAACATGCCTTCGTAGTGTGGTGGTCTGAAAGCTGGGCGCGTATTCCAGAGGTCCGCGGTTCGATTCCCGGCGAAGGCGTTGCTCATTTTTTCTCTCTCTTGCTTCCAAAATACCTAATGTCTCTACAAATATACTTCCTGATATTAAATTCTCAGAAGGTTAATTGACTGAGTGTTTATTTATTTCTTACGAAATGTGCAAAAATTTTTAAAATATCTGGAAGTATTGCATTATTTTTGTTGACGGATTTCTTACACAGCCCGTAAAACGCTGAATATTTTTGCCCTTCTGTTAAACGCTATTGCGAAATCAAATAAATTTCACTGCCTTAATTAAAGCGATGAATCAAGCTGTTATATCAAATTTTCAAGGCGAACATTTAGACACATGCTTAAGAAAACAGGCGGAGATGATAAACAATTTTGGAGGAACTATAATATCATGGATGCTGTAGAGAACATAAATCTTTCTTTGGAATGAAGTAATGAAAAAATGTTTGAAAGGAGTGTGGAAAAACATTTGGCCAGATTTAAACAAGACACTAGAGATTATGTTGTTGATATAAACGAAATAGTGGCATTAGCGAAACAAACAGGTTTAGATGAAGTAAATGTATAGAATTCCACGAAATTTTGCAAGAAACAGCAGAAAGTTTTAATGAGCTCAAGGAATTAGCGCATTAAGAACACAAAAACATTAAAAATAGCGATTCTGAAGTAGAGCAGAAAGAACTTTCAATAGCATTTCTGAAAACCAGTTTAGCTTCCATAACGGAAATTATGGACTTATTTATTGAAAATGACACAGACTTTGATAGGAGTTCAAAGGCAAGACGAGGCTGTCATGGATGCCTTGATCCTTTATCGACAACTTCTTGCGGAGTGCAAAAGAAAAATGAAAATGACGTTAAATGAAAATGACGTTAAATGAAATTATCTTAATGAAGAAGGCTAATTTTTTAGTTTTACAGTTTGTATAATTTAAGCATTTTTTCTTTAATTCGCTCAAGATCTATCTTTGGACAGAACTTTTCAGAGCAAAAGAGCACATATTGGATTAATTTTTTTGCCTGTAAGGGCAAATGGTCTTTTAATGATTTTCCATTCACACAATCCAACAAGAGTTATGATGATAGCTTAAATGCGTCCGCTTATATATTAGGCGCTTGTGGGATCGCATGAGTTCTTAAGTTAGCAAATTTCAGTTTTGATTTTAAGAAACGTAAGACGCGTGATTTTGAAGGTTTCTTTAGCTTTCTTCGTAGCAGGAAATTAGCTTTAGCTTTCTTTGTAGCCATAAAGATTGAGATATTTTTTTCCAGCATTCATGCTCGTGAACTATTTAACTGCCAAATTGAGTTCCCATGTCAAGAGGTAGTTTTTTTTTATTACTGCTGTCACAGTTTTCCTATCTTTAAATTTTTAAATAAAACGCTTTTCCATTTTAAAATGTTGATGCTATTTTACAGAAATCTTCCACACAGTAGGCATTTATTATTTGCGAATGTGGTTTCAGACTGCCTTAAAGTTAGTTGATTTCAAACAATATTTTCGCACGTTCAACAGTTTTAGGTTGTTTCAGGTGTAAGAAAAGGTGAGATTTAATCTCTTAATTTTTTTTAACATGGGCAATACGGAAGTTATTTTATTGGAAGGTTAGCTAGTTGAAGTAGCACTGACATATTTAGACACACGGCAGTGTGTTAGCCAAGTTCGGAACAGACGGAAAAGAAAACAGCGAGACACCGCCCATTTGTATCTTATATGAAGCATTTCGAGCTACTTTCAACTCCACATTACTTAAAAACTATTAAACCTACAAACTTGCAATTTTGTATATCCAATAGAGCTTCCTTGAGCACTTGGAATCCCAAATTTCATTAATCTACCTCTTACAGTTATGGAATTATTAAAGTCTTAAAAGTGTCATTTTTATCATTCACTGAATCATAACAAATCTAGGCCACTTCTAAATTACTTAGATTCTTAAAATTTGGCATCAAGGTAGATCATTAGGCATATACAACGGAAAAAATCTAAAACTTCAAAAAAACTAGTTTATTATTGAAGTTAAACGGAATAATACTCAGCATTTCACAACGTCGCCAATAGATGGCATTGCACTGATCGTCGGTTTCCCTGCCACTCCGATGCTAACCAAATTTGCCAAAAGTGAAGAATAAAAACCTATTTATAATAAATGAAATGATAGCGTAGAGGTAGAGTGCAGTTAAGATTAAAAGAGAAGGGCTAGCTTATAGAGCTTTTCTGGTACTGGCCCTTTCTTCTGAAACAAGAAGCGAGAAGTGATGACGTAGTCATATTTGACACCGAGAGATGCAATTCACTACATAGAAATTAGCGTTTTAAATCTGAAGAACAAGCGTTTCAAATGAACTATGTGAAAGATAGCTATAATTTGAAAGAGACATTGTTTCTGCTGTATGCATTTTACACTGAACATAAAAATATTTAATAATACTTACTCAGTTTTAAAATAATAGATAAAATCTGCTAGTCTTTTAACATAAAGTTTCGTTTTCTTTAATACTTGCTGTTTTTCTTAAATGCGCGCGTTTATTTATAATCATTTCTTTACCTGAATACCAACTGAGAGAAATCAACTACTGCTTCTAAGATAATTATAACAGCTATTTAAAGTATGTCAAAAAAACAATCTTACATTGACATAGTTTTAAAGGTATATGGCAAATCTATTTTTCCTGCTGCTAAAGAGCTTATGTTTGGTTGTCTTTGAAATCGACATATTCAAAATTCCTGCTAATCTAAGGTTGATTTTTTGCCTAATTGTAAATTTCACATTGGCATATTTCTTTTCCGATTCAATATAATAATAGATACTTTTTAAGTTTGTAACTTATACAGTCAAAAGTCGTTAATCCGGACGTCCATAATCCGGAATGATCTATAACCCGAACCTCAAAGCTACAAACTTTCTGCGCATGCGTAAAAGCATAACGCGCATATGCATTTACGCATGCGCGTAATACTTTTACGCATGCGCGTTTAATGTATAACGGACGGTATAAGCTAATAAAATTATCTAAATATCTATTTCAGTTAATGTTGCAGATTGCGTTGTTCCTTAATCTTCGAATTGGATCCGGCTTATTATTTTTTTCAGACTGTTAGAGCAATTTTATAAAAGTAAGCTTGAACTTTCGATTATGTCAAAAAGAATTTCCGATTCTGGAGCTGCCAAAGGATCTACAAAGCGAAAGCGTATTTCGATGCCCATCAAACAAAAAGTGGAATTGCTGCAAAAATGGATAAAGACATATCCTTTGTTTTTCCAACCATTCCGAAATCTGTTTATCAATTTCACGCTACTCTGCGGGGGTGGGGGAAAGTCGCGGCACGCAATGAACTGGAAGTTGATTTGTCTGCACTATCCTTATCTTCAGGGCAGATGTTTTCATTTTATTCGGCTTATAATTCCTTACTAAATGTAGTATTTCATCCCAATGTACTCCGTCTTTGATATGATTTAAATCAAATTCCTTGTTATTATAAATATCATGAATACACATCAAACAGTTTTCTGGTTGCAATTTTCTAATTTCGACTATGCATAATGTATGCTTTACGCATGCGCGCGTTGAAATTAATGTTTAATAAAGTAAACAAATAAATATTAAGCTTTTTTGTAAATTTTGATACCCTTTAGATTATAATTGCTCTTTATTTCATAAATTACGGTTTCATATTTTTTATTTTATAATTTCTGCATGTCATCTTACCAGATTTTGATGATCTATAATCCGGAAAAACCGATAATCCGGAATTGCCTTAGTCCCGACGAGTTCGGATTAAAGACTTTTGACTGTACTTACATCTATATTACATTTAAATAAATATATGTAAGATTATTATTTTAATTTTGACGAAACAGCTTTACTGAGAGTTTTGAAAAATTAAGGGGGTGGGTTAAAGAGGCAGCTCCTTTTATGCCAATTACTTTGATGTTTTATGCTATTATAATTTATCTAGAATGCTCAGCTAGCACAAAATCGAATCAAGAATTAGTTTCAAAGAATACAATAAGAATAACTTTAACAATAATAACTTTTATAACTTTAACAAAATTAGTTCTCATTCAAAATATGATTCATGCAATTAACTTCTAAAATGTCATACGGATATATTTCATATCAAAACATGTATTTAAATGCAAATGATATAAATGCTTACTTGCACAGTCGCACTACAACTACAAGTCGCACTGCTATTCAAAAAGTGTTTATTGGCTGCCACATTCGAAGCAATCTACATTTTTTTCTTTTGAGTTGTTTCCTTTAAGAAAAAATATATGCATTTATATTTAAGAAACTTGTTGGGTTCCACACTTTTATCTAACAACTAAATGCGAAGGAACCTAGTGAACAACAAGCTAAGCCAAAAATCGCTTTATTTCATTAACAGAATGTAAACTCGATAAAGGTTAATTACCGTTTATTGCTCCAAATAAGAGTGAATAGTTGGCCCCTTTCTCAGGGCGTA